TATTTACCATGAAAAATGAGGTAATATATATTTATCTCAGCTTGTACTTTTGAAGAGAAGTACAGATTTGAACCAGAAAACATAAATATTTTAAGGATATATAATAAAATTCTATAAACCTGTTAAATATTACATACTTTGTTACATATTAATGAAATGTTTTTATTTTTGTTTAATAAAATTATAATTTAAAAAATATTTAATCAAAGAAGAGAGCTAATAAAAAATTTCTAATAAAATTGTAAAACAAAAGCTCACCTGGGGTTTTGCTTAGAACAATAATTTTATTTTATTGTTTCGTATTTTCTGTTGTTAGGACATAAGCATTCAAAACGCAATGCAATAAAAAGAATCACAGAATTGACAACTTCGTTGCCAGTCACTAAATCAATCACTAAACGATCTTAATATACCGAAACTAATTCAGTCTTAGTAACTCAAACAATTCCATTGCCTAAGTTGACCATGCTTAAGTCCTATAAGTTAACTCAATCACAATAATTCAGTTGGCGTTAAACGTTTATACGAAACATGACAATATCAATGACACTATTCCGAATACACCTCACGTTCCGACACTTCAAGTGACACTTAATTGTTTATGAATTGTGTGACAGGCTGGGCGTCTGTGTGTGTATATATGTGTGTAATTTCAGCACCCTGCGGTTAGGCTATGAATTTACCGGTTTTTTTTTCACACGCTGCGTATGACAGCTATGCGGAAGCGGAAGTTCGACTGTGGATTTTAGATTGAATATTGTTTTAAAAATATTGTTTCTTTGAAAATCAAAAATTATTTTTTAAATTATTTTTTACACAGTTGATCTTAAGAGTTTATCAAACTTGTATTTTGTCTATAAGATTGTTTTTTATTTAATTATTTCAGCAAAGTTTATATATTTTATAATTAAAAAGTTTTTTAGTTTTACTAATTATTCACTTATTTGGAAAGTTTCTCAAATGTCTCTCGTAGATTATGTCAATAACCTATCTGAATTATTTCTAAATTGTTGAAGCGGCTTTACCGATGTTGATGACCGGGACAACAATATGCACAATACACAACACTACACAATAGGCTGGCCACGAGAACATTCTGCGTGCCTGTCGAGTTGCCAAATGCCGTTAACCGACGGTATGCTGCTGCAGTTGGAGTAGTTTAGAGAGCAAAACAGCAATAGCAACAGCGGTAACAACAAGAACAACACTGGCCAGTAGTGGCTGGTATATGGGCATGCAAAGCCAAAAACAACAATTGCAAAAACACACAACACAATAACGAGAAGGAGAAGAATAATCACAACAACAATAACAACGGCAATACCGTACACACAACCGACTCATATACAACGAACGAGCGTCGAGCCGAGGATCATAACGACTTGTATATAACACGAAGTCACGGCCCGAGAGGCGGCCGCTGCACGGCAAGCAGCAAAACAAAACACAGCACAAAACAATGCAAAATACAACAACAGCAGCAGGAGGAGCAGCAGCAGCAGCAAAGTGTAACTAAATAAGATGCAACGGCTGTATGCAATATGTGTGTGTGTGAGGGGTATGCAGTAGCCACCATCCGCCCACGCTGCCTGCAGCCCGCAGCCCGCTGCCGGCAGCGCACGACGAACGAGCGAGCTGAAAAGACCGAGCGAGACTGACGGGACAGCAAAGGAGCAGCGCTGTTAGCGAGCTTTTCGCTTGGGCACGAAGTGCTTAACACGATTGCACCCGACAGAGATAGAGAGAGCGAGAGAGTGGGAGCGCAGCGGAGAGAGAGCGTTAGAGAGTGAGCGAGTGCGCACGAGAAACTAAGCAAAAAAGCGCATTGGGAAATAAAATAAAATACAAGCAAAACAAAATAAGCAACAACAACAGCAACAACGGCAACAACAACAATGGCAGATGCAATGTGCAATTAATGCTCCCTAAAAGAGCGAAAGAGAGCTACTGAAGGAGAGAGAGAGAGAGAGGGGCTGACGACTGCAAACGCTGCCTGGTTGGCTGTTGCATGCTGCTGTACAAGACCCTGGTGTGAGTGTTGGCATTATTGTTTGTAAACTACATACAACAATACAATAAGCAAGACATGCAGTTGGGTGCGAGGAACTAGGAACTGGACTGGAATACCGCATCTCCCGTTTACTTGCTCGCTGTACATATGTATGAACCAAATTCGGCGCATGTCATTTGATTGTTCTGCCTATAAAAGTCAGTTAGGCTATGTGCTTGAGCTCAGTTGAAATTCAACTACCAGCCTTTGGACTTCGTTTGAGTTTGTCTACTTCTCACGCAACAACAAGCAACAAATTGACAAGCATATCACTTATTGCAATAGCTGTTTCTGTTGTGGTCATTTCCAAAGCCCTGAAGGAGCATTTTTTGTGAGTTCATTGCCAAAAGACGGCAAAACTCTTGGATCCCTGCGCGAGCCACTGGCTTACCGAGGTACGTATTTTGTGTTAGTGTGTGTGTAAATATGTATATGATAAGAACATACAGTCCCTTGTGTAAATATGTATGTGCTCAGTGTAATGAGCATGGTAAGGGAAATTGAATAAATATATATTGCTTATTGCAAAAAGTGTTTTTAGTGTTAATAAAWTAAATAATAGTGAAGTATTAGCTAAGTCCTCCTGAATACATCAGAAGGTTAGGTGTTATATAAATAATCTAATTGTGTTGTTAAGGTACTAAACTTGCATTGTACAGATTCAGCGCTTAAAAAAAAAAAAAAAAAAAAAAAAAAAAAAAAAAAGTGAAGTATTAGCTATGATAGTAATTAACAACTAACTGTCAGTCAAATTTTTAAGGCCAAATTATGTTTGTGTACAACAATATTGAATTAATGAGATTAATTAAAATATACAAATATAAATTCATAAGAATATAAATAAATAAACAATTTAACACTATGCCTAAAAGTATGCTACAAAAATTAACATTCTAATCCTTTAAAAATATTCAAGATATTTCGATAAAATTCTAGAAAAAATAATATGGTATGGGGGGTATCAAGATTAGATATCATAAATATAGTCTAATTATTTTTCTATTGAATTAAATTGTACTTGGAAAATTCTTTACCATTCTCAGTGATATCATATCAAATTGCTAACTATTGCACTCTCTTTCAGATCAACAATCTCTCAACTGCGATCGATATACGATCAGCGACAGCTGCTTGAACTGAGCATCGGCTATATAGCCACACCGAATTCTTGTTTGTAAATCGTTAGTTCGCATACAGCGAGCCAACTGTAAGTAGAAACACATTAAAATGACACCAAACACGGATGGAATAAGCAGCATTAAAATATGCTATAAAGCGACCAAAAAAGAGTCCAGGTTGAGGAGTATGCGTATTAAGATACCAAAAATCTAATACAATAATAAAACATAACCATCAATATCAAACCAAATAATATATATGTAACCAAAAGTAGGGCATCTATGTAGCCAATATTATATACCACAATATGTAACCACAAGTATACACAAGCTGCTCAAGCAGTCATATAAACAGCAATGCATAGGTAGGCGACTAATGGTATTAGAGTTAAGATCAAATATTCATCGATATAAATACTTATGTAATGTGTCGAACCCTAACAAATTCCGAATACATTGATGATAATTCCGTATCGTGCGAATTAAATTTTTGACAAATGATCTCCCAGCGAGAGCTAAACATTGGCTTTGTCTGCTCTATCCGGGGCTGGTGCTCCGCTTGCCCAACATAACCAGCTAACAAAATTATCCGTGGCTAATCTTACAGGGAATGTCCGAAATTGCTAATCGCGTACGCGTCGGTTCAATAGCTAACTACTCTGGCCAGGGTCCGGACCCTTGCTGTATCGCGATCTACGAGCCGTGCGTCATGCGGCGGTCGCCCCTCGCGTCGGTTGGGCGGGTGGTGGGTAACATTGATGTTACACGTTGGGATTGCGTTCGTACATACTTCAGGTGTATTTGCGTCGTTGGTGTTTATCTGTGTATGCATGTGTGTGTATGGCATGCTTTGACAATGTTCACTGTACAGGTTTTTGATCTGACTTGTCTGACATTAGCGTTAAAAAACATCAGCTAACAAAATTATCAATATTTAATATTAAAAAAACTTTTTAATACATGCATGCATGGAGTTATTTTTGATTATCCTTTTTCATAGATTAAATTTTTTTCTTCTTAATTTGTAGAAATTATTATTACATTTATTATAATATTACGATTGTAATTTTCTTCGTTATTATTGTATTATTATTATTATTTCTTTATAGTCAATTTCGTTTTCAAAAATTTATTTTGGATACGTTTACAATGGAACTTTCTTATAAACCGATCAAAGTTTTGTATCAGCTTTGAAAAAAATTTTATGTTAAACAAATTTCTGTGATCGAATAGAGTCGAGAATTTAAGTTACGCTTTTTCTGCTAGATTTGAAATCTTAAAACAATACTGAGCTAAAAGTCATATAATTTCAGTTATAGCTGGAATATGAATATTATAGGAGTTTCTTACAAAATCTTAATATATTGACGGTTTTGCATAGCTACGCAAGTATAGTATCTTATTTCGGCTTCAGATACGCCTTCACTTTTATCTAAGACATTTTTCTGCACGCCTTGACTTAGCCAGCTGCGAGTTCGCATTTGTGGTAGGGCTGGTGGGGAAACCCTTAATACAAACCTTGTTAACGCTTCTTGCTGTCAACAGCGTCGGCCAAGAAATGCATATTTAGTCAAGTGTTAATAATGCGGTTGCCTTCCCTTGGGCAAACTGGCCCATCCACTCACACACAATGCTTTGGGGAAAGGTGCAAACGTGCGTTAAGCCAAAGCAAAGCACAAGAAACTGACACACACACACAGATACACAGGCACAGAAGTAATGCAAACAAACAAAACACAGAGCGGAAGACAAAACAAATGGCGGGCAGAACGAATGACTCGAAGGATTTTTAGTGTGGGCTGCAAATGAAGAAGAAGAAAAGAAAAACTTGCCTGCGTTCGTTTGGCCAGGGCTGGCCATTATAATTCGAGGAGTTCATCTGACGCCTGTGGAAACGAGAAAAAAAATATATATAAAATTTAAATACAAGAAAATAAAGAACAGAAAAGAAAAAGAAAACAGGGAAATGCATAACTAAACAGCGCAGATCTTACAAATAGAGTTCCAGCTGAAGTTTGGGGCTGCTCTTAATTTTGTTATTCAAAATGTTTTCTGAGATTCGCGACGTTTATTTATTTCCGCATTGCAGCGGCCCTTTGCCATTGCAAGAAACGTTTTGACTTGTTGTTGGGGTGTCATTGTTAGCTTGAATTTTTTTTTTTGCCCATAGTGAGCCTGCATGGAGTTGATAATGAATTGGATTTTTGGTGGCGCATAATTAAAATGGCAGCGAGCCTGTGCGACTAATTTGCGCACAATAAAGCCGACTTAGGCAGCCAAAATGTATCTGGCAGATACTTTTCTGCGGCACGTCACGTGCTTTCAACGTCAATTGGCCAAGAAGTTATTGCCTAGGTGAATTGACAGGCAGCAGACCATTGGACGCACTCGCACGGAAATTTCAATGACAATCGCCTGGGTCCAACCGCAGCCGAAAGTCCGAGCCACCCAAGCGTGAGTCGAAAGGTATCTTATGGAGCGCCGCAGGCTCTCCCCTATGACACCACCCACTTAAAATTTATGTGTTAATTTCAAGATGCCCGCGACCCACAGGGTTTTTCTTTTCAGCATTTTTTTTTATTGCCTCGGACGGGGCAGCATTTTTCACAAAAGTTTCCTGCTTTTGGAGTGGGCTTTGCTGGGGGATCTGCTCCAGGTGCTGCCAGGGTCAGCACTTGGTGGTAATAAATGAGCTAATAATAAGCGAAATGTGCTTTTGAGTGACCCTAAACAATGGCTACGGGCTGCCYGTGGAGTTGCCAGTTTGGGAGCAGTAGGGGCCGTCTCCTTCCACAAATTACTGTGAAATTGAGTTTAACAAGTAAGAAAGCTCTAGTCGAGACTGCTCGACTACGAGATCCCCTGAACCCTTGGAGTGTTAGCTATTTCAATCATTTTTCGCGTCTTTCACACGCACGTACGCACACACAGGCATACATACACACACACGCATACAGACACAAACGCATACACACACTTACATACACACACACATACACAAACACATACACACATACACAAACACATACACACACAAGCACCCACGCATAAACACGCATGGGCTGCAGTGTGCGCTTACTATGAGAACTTAATTGTTTAATAACTTTTTTTGTGGACGTACGATCTTCACGAAACTTTCAGATTATGATTATAACATGNAATAGAAAATCTACAACTTTAGTCATTTATAAAATATTTTATGGGATACAAAAATATACAGTTTTATTATTTTTAGATAAATATTAACTAATCAAAATTTCCAGAAGACTCAAATTTCTAAAATTGAAGATTAAAAAAAATCCTTTTAATTTTTTTTTTTTTGTATTTCTGGTTTTGTTTGCAAAATTCATGTTACAGAAAACCTACAAAAGTTGATATCTGTGAGTCTTTCAATGTAGCCAAGGACCCAGAACCAAGGGGCAAATATGTAGCAGCAAACAAGCTCCATGCTCAAGTGTTGACGAGTATGAATGGTTTCTGGTATCAAGGAGGACTAGGAACAGGACAAAAAAAGCTGTAAACTGTAGCCGCATGTTGTAAATTCCAATCAATTTCGATAGCTTATGGCAGTTGAGATGAGGTTAGAGAGTCGAGATGACGAGCTCCACTCATTTGTCGAAAAATTGAGTAGACATGCATATCCGCCGTGCTGGCTGCCGGACAACGGAAATGGTCAAGATGCAAAGCGGCAGGCAGGTGTCCAGTCAGGCCATCAATTAGAGCTGGGTTTTTTTTTTTCATTTTTTTTTTTTGGGACCTGTGGCTTTGTCTTAGCGTCAGTGTCTGCAGCATGTTTGGTTAACAAGATGAAGTTGACGGAGCTGCAGGCCATGGCTAAGGACAACGTCATTGAGACAAGCATACAGAGCCAACAAACAAACAAATAAACAACGCCAGCGAAAACAACATGCACAAAGTTGTCTATGAGCCGCTTTGTGTTGTTTTTGGCAACATTTGCGGCCTAATGGAATTTGGCGTTCACTAACTGGCAAAAAATTGCTCAAGCAGCTGGGGGAAAGTCCTTGCTACATGTGGCATATGAGCTGCTGTTGTTCCTGCTGTTGCTTCAGCTGCTGCTTCGAATTGAAAATCGAAGTTAATATGCGCTGCAGACTGTGAAACAAATCATTTTCAAGTTGTTATGCGAAATCGACACGTTTTGCCCATTTTATATTTATTATGAGCATTTTCAAATGTTTTTCTGATTTTTTTTAGCAGCTGTTACAGGACATAAGGAAAGTAGTTTGGTTGGGGAAGCAGCCAGTTCTGACTTATGCCCGGTAGAAGGCATAAAAGCTAATAATTTGGGAATATTTCGTGTGTGTTGATGGGCTTGGCTTGGCAGACTAAAACGGAATCATGGATAGAAATTAGGACTGGGTGTGCAATGCAGCTGGGTTATAAAGGGTTTAAAATGCTTGGGCTTAAGCTAAACTTTAAATTAAAATTTGCTAAGGATTTTAAAATTTGAATTTGAATTTGAATGCAAAATTTCCGACATTTTTCCCAATTGGATTTGTAGTTTTGTTTAATAATATTTGTATAATATTGAAAAATCTTAATTAATTCTTTTCTAATATAGATAAGCGAATCTTTCTTGTTGAAGAATATGGTTTGAAATTAGGAACTTTCTAATTTAAAAAATTTTTATATAGCATTATTGCTTTTCCAATTTGACTTTTAGACTTTTTTAATAATACTTAAATATATTAAAGTCAATCTTTATTTTAAAAAATTATTTCTGAATAATATTTAAAGTTTTTGTAAGCTTAATAATTGTTTGTTATGTATTTCTATACATACATACATATATGTAAATATGTTAATATTCCGAAATGCTGTGCAATTTAGCGCCTTGTTACTGTGACATGCTCAAAGCCAAAAAATTTCGTAGCACCACCAAATAGCCCTAACAGCAGTGAGCCAGGAGCCAAGCGTCAACAAGGTACTAGAGTATGTAAAACAGGAGACGGGAAAAAAATTCGTTAAGGCAAGCTATTTTAGCATGATGCGCGTGTGCTATGCCATCCACATCGCATTATGTTTATGCCACTTGGAGCAAGGCTGTGTCGCCCGGCCTGTGATCCTGGGTGGATGGCAGCACATAAAATTAGCAAGGACGTGAGCACAATGCGTCGCTGTATTTGATGGTCTGCCTCATTATCATAGTATTTTGTGCGAACGTTGGCAATTTTCGGTCGTGAAAAGGGAACGGGACAGTAGACAAGTAGATAGATGACGTACTTAATGCATGTCCCTGTTGTGCATATACATATGTATATGTATGTGTGGGTGTGTGTATGTAAATATCTTTAAGTTTACGTTTCCTGTCATACATATACATATAATAATATGAAATAAGCGCTCACCAGTTCGGTGGTTTACTTCTGTTGTGAAGTCGTTCCTGTTGCAGACCACCTGTATGGCATCTATTACGCTCCTCTGAGCCAGTATCGGCTGCATCGCTGCCCGAAGCTGAGCCCGATAGAGCTTCGGCGCCGGCAGTTGTTGTTGTTTCTGCAGTAGCTGTGTCGGAGGCAGCTGTTGCAGCTGCTTCCTGACACTCTTGCATTGCTAAACTTAACAATATATATACACTTTTGAAATATTGACATTAACTTAATTCATTCTTAAACTAACGTATACGATTATTTTAAGCTCGTTGCATTGCACAGTCGATTGCAAATTAAAGGACATTTTTGTACTCTTTGTTGCATGAAACCGTAGAAAAGCGGCTTAAATGCTTAACACTTGTTGCAGCATTATTGTTTTGTTTCGTACTTTTGTAATTTTTAAAAATTAGTATTTGTTATTTTTATACACAATACACTCAAATGTCTTTTGTATATAATTTTATACCATAACCGCTTGACAGAACTCTTACTTTTATTTCACATGTCAGAGCACTAACCAAATCAGCTGTTCCCAGAGTTGCATCTGTGATTGTGCTGCCACCTGATGTAAATAAAAATTGGCGCGTCAAAAGTCAGATTTTGAATGTTGTCTGCATGCTATCAATATTGTCGCATGCTTGGGTGCTTATGTAAATTTAGCTTGCTTCTTTCTTTCCCCAGAGAATTGTATTTCTTATATCACTTTGTTTTGTCGCAACTTTTATTTACTTTGGCAAAATCGTTACGACTGCTGGCGTTGATTTTTCATTTGGGAGCCAGTTGTTATTGTCGTTGGGTGGCGAAATTTCCATAATTATATGCATCAGATGGCAGGTGGTTGAAGCGGATGCTGAAGACGTTGTGCAAAGCTCAAAACAATAACGCAAAGAAAACAAAGCAATACAATAAGAAGAAAAGAAAATTGTGCGAGAGTGTGTATTTTTGTAATTTTTATGGCAGACTGAACCTGCGCCAAGTGTAAATATTGACAGTTTTTAAAAACGAATAAATAATAAAGCAAAAATGCAACCGAAAAGAAAATGCGTAAATTAATTTCTTTTGTTTACTGAGGGTGCCGCCGTTGTTGGGCAAATTTTGTGGGCTGCTCCATTCCAGATCGTTCCAAAGGTAAGCAGCGATAGATTTGTACACAGTGAACAAGCCTGCGACATGAGACATAATTTGGGCCGCGGACGATCACCTGGGGATGTAGCTCAGATGGTAGAGCGCTCGCTTAGCATGTGAGAGGTACGGGGATCGATGCCCCGCATCTCCAACGAGGATTTCTTTTTTTCTTCATTCAATAAGAATTTGTAAAATATTTGAAATTTAATATAAATAAAGGCGTAACATAAGGCGTAACAAATTGTAATTTGTATTTCGTTTTTCAGATGTGGCATCAAATAAACTCATCTCCTTTGAACTAAAGTCAGTCTTTGTATAAACCTCAATCATTTTTTTTTAATTTAGAATTTTTTTAGATACAAAAATGTATTGCATTATACAATTTGCATATAAAATGTAATAAAAAAAATAAATTGTCTGTCTACTAGACGACAATATCCTTGGAGATGCGGGGCATCGATCCCCGTACCTCTCACATGCTAAGCGAGCGCTCTACCATCTGAGCTACATCCCCTTCGTGGAAATGCCCAACTATGTAGCCAAAAAGTGAAAAAAATGCAACTGAATTGGTTTAAAAATAGATTGGTAAATTAAATATTCCAAATAAAAGCCATGGTCAGCTTTTGTTGAAAATAATGACTGGCAATTGAGTCGAACGCAACAGAGACAAAGTTTTATTGGTGGATACGAAAATATCTTACAAATTAAAAGCATATGTTGTTACAAAATATAGCAAAAGGTAATGATAATGTTCTCAGACTTTCAAATAAAATAAAAAATCGGTAAACTATTTTCAATGAGAAATTTGAGTCTGTTAGCATTCAAGAATTAATTTATAAGTATATTCACAAATGTATCATATAACGCAACAATTGATATATATATATTTCTTAGGGTATTATCAATACATAAGTATCCCAACAACTCTCGAAACCAACAAGTAAAATATGCACAGTCATATGATTTTATTATGCAAGAAACGTCATTCAAATAGTTTTCAAAAAACCTCAGTAAACCTGAATTGCCTGCCAAGCAGCGAAACAGACACAGAAAACTTGTTTATTTTCATATGCTAAAACCTTTTAATTGAAAAAGTTGAGCCGAATTATGATCTAGATGCTCAATCATTTTACAAAGGTAATTTAAGTCCCAAGATAATAGTTATTATTTAACTGCAAATATTTAAAAAAATTAAATAAAGTAAAAAAAAAAGAAATAAAAATTCCGGGCTCAACCGGGATTTGAACCCGGGACCTCTCGCACCCAAAGCGAGAATCATACCCCTAGACCATTGAGCCTCTTGTTTTGACGATCGCCTGGTAGCTTTTATGAGTAACTGATTCATCAAATAGTTAAACAAGACCCAAATAATCTACTTATTATGCATCTAACCAGTTTCAGGCTTATAAAAAAACATGGCCCTTTCTTAAATTCCAAGGTTAAATGCATTAAATCCATAAATCACTGCATGACATTTGTCCGTTTTAAAAGCAGACTATTATTTTCTGCGGCACCAACTGGGGATGTAGCTCAGATGGTAGAGCGCTCGCTTAGCATGTGAGAGGTACGGGGATCGATGCCCCGCATCTCCAAATACAGTTCACTGACTTTTTTGTTTAATTATTTTCCTTTTTTGTGTAATTAACTGCGGCTGTGCACATAATTTCCACTTTAATGCACTCGAAATGGACGGCAATTATTTGCATTAGCGTTTCTGCGGTCTGTTGTCCCTAAGTAAATGAATAGCAAATGGATGGGTAAATCTTAGAGAGTTGAAATAGCCGAATAGATAATGATAGACGTCTGTGAGATAAGAAAAGATACAGAAAGTGAAATAAAACATTATATCTTTTCCAGAAAATAATATAAATAGATATTTTATATTAATTTCAGATATTTCATAAATATCATGTGTAGCAATGATTTATTGTTCAGGTTTTTATATAAATATCTTTTTTATGAAGTTTCTTAGCTATTGACCGCGACCATCAGCCGAATGGAGAACTCGAACTCCACATTCACGCTGTCAGTCTGCAACCTGCGCAAATATTTAATTATTCATAACTTTAAACAATCACAGCGACGTCAGCGTCATGGCATATAACCCCAGGGCTATGCCAGGACGACGTCTCCAGCCTCCAAATGCCATTTACGTCTCAACAAACACAACATACAATACAAGGGATCCATGCACCAACCCCCGTTGAAAACTCTCCTCGTCGCCTCGTAATAACATTGTCGTAAAATCATGTTTGGCTTATCGTTATCCCAGCTGGGTTGCCGAGGACAGGACGTAATGTCCCGGGCCGCCAGGCTGCCAGGATGCCAGGATGCGAGTCGCGCGCGCTGCATTTAAATGCCGTTGAAAATGGCGTGAATTATAGTAGCGTAGGTTAAATGCCTTTAGACAGGCGCATAAACTACAACAGCAGCTGAAGAGAGGGGGAGCGACTGAGTAACCCTTTCGCTTTTGACAGGATAGATTTCAAAAATTGTTGAATCTACGTAAAAGTTTTGCTGCCGTCTGCTTTTAATTTTTGTAAAATTATTTGCATTGGCGCACGCAACTGACAAACAGAGTTGAAACTACTTGTCCTGCTCCTGTGCTCCTGTCCTCCTGTGCTCCTGGCTGGCTTTGCTGGTTGGCTGGTTGACTGGCTGTTCGCCTGTTTTCTTGTAATTATCGCCTTTGTTTGTTAGTTGAACTTTTGCCAGGTCTGCCCGCCGGCCAACATACAAAATTAGCGTGGCAAAATTACTAAACAATATTTGCTAGGAAACTTGGCTGCTCAAGATGCTGTTGCCACCGCCGCTGCGGCAAAGTAAGCAACATATTGTCCTTGTCGCTGTCGTAATTTTCTAATTGGCCAAAGTTACTGCCAAGTTTCCCACCGCCGCCCAAAATGCCAGCAAGATTTGTGTTTAGTTTCGTTTGCTAATTCAATTTTAATGCTTGATTTCATATTAATTGAAAAATAAATTTCGCTTTCTGCCCAAAGGCTTAAGAGCAAGGATCTGAGTATTTAAGATTTCACCAAGAGAGTTTTCAAGTGGAATAATATAGATTTAAGAAGCGTGAGATTTAGAATAATCTGTATATCATAAGCTTAAGTAAATTAATATACAAATATATA